TAGTATAACTTTAGTGCGCGGAGTATCTGGGGAGCTGGAAGATGAGAACTGGCGACGTTGTAGTACAACTTTAGTAGGCAGAGGCGCGGCGTATCTGGGGAGCTGGAAGATGAGAACTGGCGACGTTGTAGTACAACTTTAGTAGGCGGAGTATTTGGGGGAGCTGGAAGATGAGAACTGGCGACTTTGTAGTACAACTGTAGTACGCAGAGTATCTGGGGAGCTGGAAGATGAGAACTGGCGACTTGGTAGTACAACTTGAGCACGCGGAGTATCTGGGGAGCTGGAAGATGAGAACTGGCGACTTTGTAGTACAACTATAGTACGCAGAGTACCTGGGGAGCTGGAAGATGAGAACTAGTGGCTTGGTACTACAGCTGTAGTACGCGGAGTATCTGGGGAGCTGGAAGATGAGAACCTCTGACCGTATATTGATGGACACATCTCCTCTTGATTTCACAACTTCACAGGTCACTGCTTCGCCAAGCTTGTTGCGTAGCTGCCTCAGCAACTTTCTATTTTCATTCCAGCTCGGTTTGTTCGGTGAGATTTCCTGGAGGCGTGAACGCTGCTTCTCGAGGAATGGCCATTCTGAGGTGGATGTAACGTTTCAGCGAGGCCCGGGCTCCCAGACAGAAGAGCTATGTGCTTTACTATTTCCCTTTACCAGCAGCTCAAATGCTCTCGAAGATGAGCTGAGCTGTCACCGCTTGGCCGCCGGTGGGGGGTTTGGGAGGCCTGCGCCCTACTTGGTTCACTATATCTACTGCGAAGAACTTCACCATTTGCCCTTACCAGCAGCTCGAATGCTGGCGACCTTGAGCGGAGCTGTCACCGCTTGCCCGCCGGTGAGGGAGTTACAGCTTTGTGTCCTTGGGGCCACAGAGACCCACAGATTGAGAAACATTGTTCACACGACGTACGTGGAAAGACATACAGAAACATCATTTTTTGCACCCACACCATAGAAAGACATACAGACAGAGACACATACGCACACAGACATAGATACACACACACACAGACCCACACACTGCCTCAACACACCCGACTTAACACTTCACACTGAACACTTAACACATAACTCACACTCTGACTTCACACGTGATGAAAAATGCTTTCGGGCCACTCGTCGTGTAGTTTATTTATTTTTATTCATGTATATGCGGGGCGTGCATGTGTGTGTCAGTGTGTCAATTCCCAGCAACCCAAAAGACGCAAAGCTATCATAGTACGTGCGCCCAGGAGGATTCTGTTCAAGAGGTTTACCATGGCTACACTCTCTTACCTGGGACTTGCGGATGCTCTCTCAGTTGGTTTTGTTCTTTTATAGCTGAAGACTGGATTGACTGAAATGTCTCTAACAGTTGTAGTGTACTGCATTGTGAAAGTGTGCAGTGGCCCATTCTGCACATCAACATTAGGACCTCACCTTAGGACATCTTAGGAGTCCGGAGCATTGCCATGGAGGTGAACACAGTGAACACCTGTTCGGGTTGGTTGGGGTGGCTGGACCTGTCAGACCTGTCCGTTGCAAAGGCAGGTCTTTTTCCGTGACCCCATCAGCCAGGCCGAGGCCGGGGGGTGAGACGACCTGAAGGGTGAGACGGGGGTGGATGGATGGATCACCCAGTTGCTCGTGTGTGCCTTCAGCGCACTTTGTACTATATAGTAACAAAGGGCATCGCTACTAGGAGCGCCGATGGTGAAGTACTGTGCCTCTTCCTGTTGAAGAACACCTGCATGCTCACCGACGCGAGGCTTCGAGCAGCAGCCAGCCATTTGTGGAGCCCTTGCCGCCGTTGCGCACAGGAGAGATTTCAGATGTGCAGCGTTCTTTGTTGGACCGATGATGTGTTGGGAACCAAACAGCTGCTGTGTGTATTGTTCATGAAAAGCAAAGCTGGTGAGCTGGTGGACCAAGTGGGATTTGGTGCAACATTTGCGTGCATTTCAGACATTTCAGTATTTGAGAGACTCGAAGAGCGTTTTAGGGAAGCAACCGGTGAAGACCATTTAGGAACTGCCAATTAGTAACTAGTATGCTCACTCGCACCAGCCTTGCAAACCATAGGGCAAAGACTTTGGTGATCTTCCTTGCCAACTGACTGGGAACAACAGGCTAGAATTATGTAGCTTGAAGATGATTGTGTCACTTGTTTGGGCACACGAAGGACTCCAAGCAAAGTTCTCTAAACAAGTTCAACTGCTCACTTCCCCTTCAACCACGAAGAAGCCTGCAGACAGGATCCTTGACTCTGACTTCTCAAGAGGGCCCTGCGGCCCTCTGTAGTTTCTAGCTCCAACATGCAAAAACAGCCGAACCACACACATAAAGACTTGCTGAACGCACGGGGTCGAACAGCGAGTCGCACTGTTTCAGTGAACGAACACCACCGGAGCTCACCACTGTGACGAGTGCCTCATTTAGAGCCCGGAACAGGGAACTCAAAACTTGCAGATAACCACAATTACCTTCCCAAGCGTGGGTGGCAGAGTCTGGCCAAAGTGAAATAGTGGTGCCATGCTGATTTGCGACTGGTCACTCCGAGTATTCAGGAGCCCTTCTCCTTCGTGGCCCTGGGCCTTCTCGCAAGTCGAGCCGGCACAGCTCACAGCTAGTGGATGTTGTGCTGCCTTGTGAGGCCGATCTGGTGCCACGAGCCGAACGACTTGCTTAGGAAATATTTTTCAGACAATCCAGGTGTTATGGAGCGAGAAGTGAAGAACCATGCATGTGTACTTGTATGCATTTGTGTTTCTGCAATGGTGTTAGGGGGGTATCGATTGCCAATCAAGCAACCAATTTCCGCCTTCTGCACTACCGTCATTTCTGAGTGCAAAAGGCAATTTTTCCGTTTGTAGATGTTTAACTGTTCAACTTTGGCCTGTTGGGGTGCGCCATGTTTGCACTGGACCCTGCAACGATTGCCGGGCGACCTCCCAGGAGGGCGGTCAATGGTCGAGGACTCGTTTTGAAGTGCCGTGGATCCTGCAGGTGATGTTGGGATACTTGGCTGCGAATGGGAAGAGATGGAAGAGGATATGGACAGGAGTCTTCATTTCAACGGTTGGGAGTTGATGACGGAGGGAGGCTGCCAACATCCCCAGCCAGCCCATGTTGTGTTTACGTATCTATCTAGAATATACAGTACTTATTTGGCATGCGGAAATCTATGCTTGTCCTACAAGGATGTCAATTGTCAACGGATATTTGATTGCTAACTCCTTTTGCCAATCAATCGACATGAAGCAATTGTTTTGCAGATAAACCAGACGTTTCTGCTTTTCTGATTTCGCGACTTGAAAGAAACAAGTTGAAGGCTTCTTCTTGGACATTTGGTAAGAGGGAATGACGTGTGGCAAGGAGTTCAGGCGAAAGGCTTCACAGTGACCAAACACAGTTTTGAGAGAGGTTCACAAATGTGATGCTATGAAAAGCAAGGTGAGCGCGAAAGCTTGTGTCTTTTGTAGCTGTGAGCCAATGGCATCGGACATAGTGAGAGATCATAGGGGGGTTGAGAGGTATTTTGAAGCAAAAAAACAAACCAGACAAACTTCCCAACCTTTGTGCGGATCAATTGCCCAAGGCAATGGTGATGTTATCACCGCCCATGGTCTTCTGGACCGAGCATAAAGACTTCTCAAGGGCATATGCGAAAAATGTTCGGCAGATGTGACCTCCAAAGGCATCCCTGCACTGCCAGGAGCTCCATATGGACTGAAAATAGTGATAGTTTGTCAATCTTTCAGTGCTTCGGTCTGATTGGATGTGAAGCTCATGGCTGTAGTTTGCATGTCCCAAAAACCAAACAAACTGTGTTTTACATGCAGTATACGCATACAGATCTCCACTTATGTTTGTTCCCACTTGGCCCCATTTGGTTCGCGGTGTTGGGAACGTTGAGGGCCAGTAACTGAGGATTCACGGATTTGCGGCTGGCTTGCTTGGAAGAGCTACATCGCGACAGATCGCCGGGGGTTCCAGAGTTCCAGTGATGGGATGTTGTCACGATGTTGGTTGCATGTTCCAAGATCAGACTAGACGACTTAAGTTTGGTGGCGCTTTGTGACCACATGAGAAACACTGGGACTAGGGCCAGGATTTGGAGCACCTTTGAGATGTTGCGTTTTGTTTGCCTGCTTGGACGCCTTCCTAGCCTGAGGCGCTTGTCGCAGGTCGCTTCTTGGCAGCGAAGCCATTAGGTTTTCAGAGGGCTCTGGGATGGAAGCCTTGGAACAATTAATCGCCCAGATACAGACGCTGCTCTCAACATCTTTCATGGATGGTCAGAACCCCCAGCCTGGTTTGGTCCACCCGCTGCACTGCTCTTTGAGGCAACATACGTTCATAATGGCAGCCTGATGATTCTGACCAACAGCAAATACCAGATGGGCTTAGATGTGGCAGCCAATACAGAGCCACTTGCCGACACAGGAGAGAGGGAGAGGGAGTGTGTAAGACCCCTGGAGTGCGTCAGTTGAGTGAGTCAGTGAGTGAGTGTGTGTATGTGTGGATGTGTGTGTGTGTAACCTTTGGAGTCACAAGGTTCCTGTTGGATTGTGTTTTGTTGACGTTTCATGCTGTTAAGCAGGGGGGGACACAGCATTTCACTGGGACTGTGTCCAACGAAGCTACCAGTGAAACGGGATATCCAGCTTGGCCAGCTGGACGTACCTGCAACAATTTTTAAGTCTCCGTAAAGGGCTAATGCACTCGGCAGACAAGAGCATACGTCGTCAGCTTGCCGTTCGATCGATCGATGGCTTCTTTTGGATTTGCTGGCCGCTTGAAACTTGATGGACCTCCACTTCTTTTCAGGTTTCTCACCTGTACCCTTAGGAAATGGTTACCTAGGCCGGCGTGTGGCAAACCGCTTTCAGATCAGTACACAAAATCTTAAGTGTGTCTGGCTTCGTGCCAGCCCAGGGTGAGCCCGCAGAGTGTTTTTTGTGTGGACCCGTCGAATGGGGGTATGTCCTTATCTCCCCTGCCCGGAGATGTACGTGTCCAGAGCGGACCGCAGCGGTCTAAGCAGCCAGCCATTTTGGCACGGCGTACGTGGCCGCAGCGGCCGAAGCTTGTTCAAGGTTCATTGGAACCTGTCGCCACCTCAGGTGTACACGGGGGCCAGCGGCCGACAAGCAAACGCTGGCTAACAAAGCTATGCTAGCTCGGTGGATGCGGTCAGAGACGTCTGACCGTGTACCTGCAAAGAAACTGTTGATCACGCTGTCCAATCTTCCTTTTTTGTTTCCATGGTGGTTCATGCTTCTCCCCCCCAAACAAAACTTTTTTTCCTTCAGCCACCTTCCGCGGCCGTGCGCTTTGCAGCATGTCACCGCAGTCAAGTGAGAAACTCTTCTGTTAAAACACCTACAAATGATTGGACCTTTCGCCATGCGGTTCTCTCACCTTCCTTCCACCTGGGACTTGAGTTAACTGAAAACCAATGTCAGAGTGTGGTTCGCTCAGTCGTTTCAGGGTGCGATCCTCCGCAAGGAGGCGCCGTTCTCACGCCGGAAATCGTGTAACTGCTTCCCTTTTTCCACCAAACCTTGGATTCTCTTAACCGCTTCCTTTTCACTACTGGATCGACTGCCTCAACAGCCGCCGGGCTTGTACGGACAGAAATCTTCGATTGCGTGACTATGTGTGTGTTTTGCAGCTCGCTTTGACTTTCAAGCGTGTACAGTGCCCTATTTTCCACCACAATCGATTTGCGATCAGACATATTCCAATTCACCATCTTTGTCACGTCGAGGGGCGCTGCGTGTGCATAGACCCAGATCCTGGGCGACCCACGCGGATCACTTGTTTCATGCGCTGGAACTTCACCTGATCCCTCCTGATTGCCGTTCTGCTTGATACCACTGAATCCATGCCGCAGGGCTCACTGAGACTACGATCCAGTCAGGATTTGCACATGTGTCCAAGTATTCACCTGTACAGTTTCCATGGCTCGGCTAGGCAACCACAGGCTGCTTTTCAGTTGCTCTTGGGTTCTTTCTCTCTTTCTGTTGCTTTTCGTTTCTTGAGGCCTTTCTTTAGGTTTCAGGTGCCTTTCAGACAAGGGTGCGCCGGCCCAAATCTTTACTTGAATGCCAAAGATGGCAATGCCTTCGGGCTACCCTATCCCACCCTCCCCCCTACCTCCCTGCCCCTGGCCTCTGTTGCTATTTCACCCGCTATTTAGGGTAACAGAAGGAAATCGCACTCAACACACTTGTGTGTTGGTGCCTTTCCTTCTGTTTCTCCGGTCCTACTCCTAGCTACCCGGGCGGTTTTGAGACAAAAGTCCCGCTCGCTAACTACTTTCATTTAACTAAGTGGGCCTCGTCACTATACCTATCTTTCTTTCTTGCCCTCTTCGTGTGCTTTTGTTTTGTTTTCTTTGGTTTTCTTTGTTTGTCTTTCTAAGGCTTTTTAGGTGGCTAGTAATCCTCCGGAGCGCCAATATCGGCGCTATGTGTACAAAGCTGTTGCACAAAAAATCGTTTCACGCAAGGGGTGCAGAGCGCCGATTGCGGCGCAGTGTGTGTGTGTGTCCAACCCTGGACAAAGGGTCTTTCACCACCACTCTTTC